GTGAAAGAAGCTCTCCCATTGGCTAAAGTAACTTATTACTTTGGTAGCCTATTATGCTCACACTCACATTCACAAACAAACAGGAAAAAGGGGGTGGGAAATGGCTTGGGTGTATGATTTTCTCACAGTGGTGGGTTATACTTTACAGAAGTGAAAGAGTTGAGTAATCATAAACCCTGAATGACCCACAAAATGTGGTCTGCTACTGATGTTGGAAACATACTGATCTTGATGTTATACTCAGAACATAACCTAGATGCACTTAAACATATACCTGGAATTAAATACAAGACCTTAAAAAGCACTTTGTGGATTCTCAAGTGTGTGTGTAAAGTCTCCATTTTTGAAATATGACAACCAACTAGTGAGGGCGTTTGACTGGTCTTCAAGTCACTTGTTACAAAGGCTTATATTGGTCAAAATAGAGCAGTGTTGGGGAAGCTACTCTGAAACTGTAGTTTGACAAGCTACAAGCTACTCGTAAGTTAAAGTAGTTAAACTACAGTCAAGCTACTCTTTTGGAAAAGTAGTTAGCTACACTACAAGTTACTATCAAAAAGTAGCTAGCTACATTGAAACTACTTTTGCTTTTTTGAACAACGTATTATTAATAACTGAATAAGTGTCTGAGGACAGAAGGGGACAACAATACTTTTTGAAATCATAATTTTATTGCATTGTTTTAAACACTAAAACAATGCAATAAAATTATGATTTCAAAAACTATTGTTTTATTACACACAACAACACCCAAATATCTCAGATTGTTTGTCAAAAGTGCAAAATTGTAACCAATAGGCTACAACATTGCAAGAAAAAAATATACATCCAACGTAAATTGCATGTAGAACATTTTCTCAAAAATACCGATTGAACTTGGACAAATAAGGCCATGGGTAATTAACGTTAGTTGTTTCTCCATCCTCCAAATCTGCTGTCACATCTTGCTCCATCATCATGTGTGTCAACACACTTCTGTACGTCAGTGAACTGTTAGCCGCAGATGTGTGATTAAACAACAGGTAGCGGTGATGGCAAAAAAATGAGTTTGTAATCTAACAAGAAGAAGAATATCCTAGCAGCGCGCTGATTCGTGCAGGCTCGACAAACACAATGTAGCTTTTGCTCGAGCTACACCGCTACTTGCTGCAAAAAGTAGTTAGCTACTGGAAAAGCTACACTGTTTAAAAAGCAACTGAGCTACAGCCAAGCTACTCAAAAATGTAGGGTAACACTTTAGAATACGGTTCCTTCGTTAATGAATAACTACACAAGAACTAATGAGTAACACAATATTAACAATCTAGTAACTATTATTAACTAACAAGAAACTCTGATTAACGAACTAGTAAGTAATAGCGCACAGACGAAAGTGGTAGTTCACTATTAACTAATCAATAACTACTATTTTTTTAATACTTCCCAGAGAACTACTGAAAAAGTTTATTAATAATCTAGTAACTACTATTAACTAAAAGAAACTCTTATTAACGAATTAGTAAGTAAGAGCTCACAGATGAAAGTGTTACTAGATACTTCTGTGGGAATTACTAATTATTTGGATCCGTATTATAAAGTGAAAATCATTTGAACTAACTAGTAATTACTCAAGTGTTACTAAAGACATTTTCTAAAAGTTACTAAAGTTCACCAAAAAATCTCAAACATTTGCACAAATCATGACTAGATCATGTAGTAACACTTGAGTAATTAGTTAGTTCCAATGATCTTCACTTTATAATACGGATCCAAATAATTAGTAATTCCCACAGAAGTATCTAGTAACACTTTCATCTATGAGCTATTACTTACTAATTCGTTAATAAGAGTTTCTTTTAGTTAATAGTAGTTACTAGATTGTTAATAAACGTTTTCAGTAGTTCTCTGGGAAGTATTAAAAAAATAGTAGTTATTGATTACTTAATAGTGAACTACCACTTTCGTCTGTGCGCTATTACTTACTAGTTCGTTAATCAGAGTTTCTTGTTAGTTAATAATAGTTACTAGATTGTTAATATTCTGTTACTCATTAGTTCTTGTGTAGGCTAGTTATTCATTAACGAAGGAACCGTATTCTAAAGTGTTACCAAATGTAGTTAAGTTAGTAGCTTCGCTACTTGTAGTTAACTACTCCCCAACACTGAAATAGAGGCTTATATATTGGCCAAAACAAGTGATTATTTAAATTGAGTGTTTTTCACGTTTCTCTGATGGATAGGTTTCGGGGTAGGTGGTTTTTTTTTTCCTTTCACTCTCTGTGTTAATGAATGTCGTCTGCCCTCTTGTGGTCTGTTGCGGTCTTAAGTGCATGGTTATTAGCGTTACCGACACTGACTTTTCTGTAATTTCTAGTTATTTACTTTAAATTACACAGTATTATGAGTATTATACTGCTATTTCTCTTTACAGTAAATAACTGTGATTCCCATTGCATCATGGGAATTTTCTGTGACATCAAACTATACATACTGATCTACATAGAATGACAGTGACACAGATAAGGTATTTTGTCTAATTGCTTTGTATGTCAGTAGTATTTAGGACAAAAATAAAAGTAATCATATATCATAATTATGAATTAAAAAGTACAAATACAAATAATTACAGTAGAGTACTGATTAGCTTGTTTTTTTTACAGTAATGCACTGTATTACACAATTACAGTACCATGTGGTTATTGTAAAACTGAAATATGGTAATACTGTAAATCTTAATGACAGTAACTTTTTACTGGCAACACTATTGCCAGTGAGTTACTGTAAAAAACCCTTAAAAATGACTAACAGTGTCAAACTAAAACCAAAAACATTTCCGTACTTGAAGTTAATTGAAACACAACTCGTTGCCGATGCAACATGTCTCATTTTCACATATTTAAACGTAAAGTATGCCTACTAAAATAACTGAAACTAAATAAAATGAAAATCATTAAATCTATATAGACCCATTTAAAACAAAAACAAATTACAACACTCAACATTAGCTACACTTTAAATTAAAGTAAAAAACATAACATATTGCAAGTAATTTTTAAAGCATTCAGTTTTTCAGTTGCTTTAAGGATTCAAATGTTAAGACCATTTTTAAATGCCACAAAACTCGGAGTAACTTCAAGTCTTCAGTGAAACTACAATTTTAAGTGTGGCTTTCACACCTGGTAAAACACTGACCTCTGGAGGTGGCGCTGCAGATCTTAGATGCCTTTATAATAATTTCAGCAGTAGTTATGTGCAAGTATGTGGTCATAAATGAATTTATTGCAGAATGTAGCATTAAATACAATCTGAATTTGAAATCAAGTTGTACTATTCAGATCCAAGACTTTGAAACACGGATCTAACCAGAATCACTCTTTAATGGGTGCAAAAGTTTAGCAGGATTTATTTAGAAACATATTACAGTTAAATCCCAATCATACTAATGTTTTGTTCTTTACTTTCAGAGTCTACCTGCTTATTGACTGTCAGATAGTTCACCAAAAAATAATTAATAATAATAATTATTTCATCACCTTCATGTCGTTCCTCTGAAGACTTTTGTTCATCTTCGGAACACAACTATAAGGATCTTTTAAAATGAAATCTGAGAGCTTTCGGACCCTCTGTAGACAGCTACTGATGAAATATTTCCAGTATTTTCAGAAATAATTAATACAAAGGTCAGATGACTCTGAGAATGTCTTGTGGCCCACTGAGCATTTTTTGTCAGAAATACATGTCACTTGGAGACTTCTGCCTCCGAGAAAGAGTTGATTGTCTTGGAAAATGTTACATCTTGCCTCTGAGAAAGACTGACACATCAATTGGCAGGATTACATGATTAGAGAGAAAGGCGAGAGAAGAGGAACTTCATTATTGGAAATAGAAGGAACATTTACATGAATATGTAGTCATGTGGTTATTGCCAAATAACAGATAAGAAAAATATATGGCACCTTAGCCAGAGACAAATTCAAATGTCCTGGAGGCATCTCGGCTTGGTTGATTTCTTCATTTAGATTATTTTGTAAAATAGACTTGAATATGAAATGTGGGATGCTTTAGGCTCTTGTCAGTTCACAGGTCTTAAGTTTATTTCATTGCACAGAAAGGTTAAGGTTAAGACCCACATACAATCAAATTCAAAGGGGAGAGTAAACTGATTGAATCATAAAGATCCACAGGAATTAAAACAACAGTTTTCTCATTTTAGTTTTTTCATAAAGTCATTTAAAACAAAAATCACATGCACAAGGAGTGGGATTTGAGAACAGGTTATCATCATCATCATTTTATATTTTTTGGAATAAAATGTCAGAACTTTTGTCTTTAGCGTAGCTAGGCTATCATTTTATGCATTCTCCATACAAATAATACAAACAGTCTCTGAGAAACTCAAGGAAAACACGTTGCCATCGTCTGCACTCTCCCCAATATGAAAAAATAAATAAATAAATAAAAAATACAGCTTGGATTCTGATTGATTGATTTTATTCTGTATAATTTTCTTTTTCTTCACACGTCTCTCAGTAGCCCCTTGGGTGACACTAATGTCTTGTAGTAGGCTAACCATGTAGGCTAACTTACACCAAGTTTTGGTAAAATTCCAAAACTAAGAGGCTACATGTGGTCGAAATGCCCACAGCTGAGGGAGTAGCTCTTTAAACAACAACAAAAAATTGTATACAAATTTTCGCAAAATAGCCAACGGTTTAATGAACGTTTTGCTCTTTACAGATCATCGTAGTTTTAAATGTAGGCTAATATTTACAATTTTATAATTAATTTTCAAAGTTTAAGGACATGGTTAGCACTAAAATATTCATTAAAGGCATTCATACCAAATAAATAAAGGCATGGCAAAAACGTTTCAGGCGATTTTTATGTAACGTTAACGAAAATAGAGTTGAAATCTGTAACAAACCCAGCGACGCATAAAGGAAAAAGCAGTAGGAAAAATCATTAAAACACCCTTGTGTTCAGTCGGGGTTTTTTGCAAACCCAGTCCGTAGGAAGTCCATCCTCGTTAAAGAAAACTGAGGCAGTGCGGAAGTGAGACACACAAGTAGGCTACACAAAGGACGCGTGAAAGGCATAAACAGAGCACAAAACAACCCTCCGATCAAACAACGAGGTAGGTCTATTATACCCCTAAACATTTCTTAATATTGTTATCACATAATCGGTTGCATTACATCCTGCAGTTTGTTTTTATCGATCGTTTTGCGTTGATCAATTCTGTTAGCTTCTAAGTTAGACTTGACTTTGACTAGTTTACTTTCGCTTTTTTTCTAACGAGAACAGCTGTCGATGTGTCGTTGCTGTGCTTCCTTTTCAATATCATATATGTTTACTTTTGCTGATTTCTAAATACGCACAGGTTACACCGCTAAACTGTTTAATCTACTTCTCGTTTTCAGATTTAACTACAGTATACAGCATGGCCACTACAGAAACGGTATACAACGCCACCACCACAACAGAGCAGATTCCCAAAACTAGAAAATGGTTAAACGTGCCATCAGAGAATCTGGAGAAAATTCGATTTGTGATCAAAGTGATTGAAGTGGTAAGTAGCACTTTGGTCTGAAAACAAATGTGACCTTGTAGTCTGTGATCTCTAATTATGACTGCCTTTAAATACGTATAATTATGTAGGTTACCAGCCAAAAGTTTGGAAACATTAAGAATTTTATAGCCTAGGCTATATATGTTTCTGAAAGAAGTCTCTTCTGCTCACCAAGGCTTTATTTATATGATCAAAAACACAGTAAAATCGTAATATTGTAAATATACCATTTAAACTAATTGCTTACTGTTTTAATGTTATATGATTTATATATAGGCTAGGCTACATCTGTGATGGTAAAGCTGAATTTTCAGCATCATTACTCCAGTCTTCAGTGTCAAATGATCTTTCAGAAATGCTGTTCTCTACCTTTCTATTCATCAAAGAATCCTCCAAATTGAGCATAATTGATCAGCATTTTACTATGATTTCTGAAGGATCATGTGACATTAAAGACGGTAGTAGTTATGCTGAAAAGTCAGTTTTGACATCACAGAAATAAATTGCATTTTAAATTATTTTAAAACAGAAAACAGCTATTTTAAAGTTTAATAATATTACTGTTTTTACTGTATTTTTGATCAAATAAATACAGCCTTGGTGAGCTTAAGAAACTTCTTTCAAAAACTTTAAAAATCTTAATGTTTCCAAACTTTTGACCGGTATTGTATATAACCCAATATAAACAAAAGCAGGTCATAGTGTCTGAGTGGTTAGTCTGGTGTAATGACAATTCAACTCAAGTTAAGGTTGAGTAATTGTTTAAGTTTCCGTTGTGTAAGTTTCCCTGGAAGCGTGTAATAGCAAACAGCAATGCTGGCAGTACGTTAACATATGTAAAAGGTGGGGTTGAAATGGCTTCTGTTGTTTTAAAGTGTTAATTAGATTATCGTGGATCCTGTAACATTCTGCTTCCACTGCCATGTCTCACACATCCTTGATAATGCAAATGTCCTAACTGGGCTGTGGCATCTTTTTGTCTGCATAATGCTAAACTTATTTTCTAAACAAGCTTGGGTATTTCAGAATTGCAGTCATATGCTGCTTGGCTGTTGATCATGGGGCTTTTTGTATAAAAGTTGGGAGTTTGTTGACCATTGTATTTGTAAGTTAGAGATTCCCTCCATTTCTTTGGTATCTTCCATATGTGTCAAACTGGCTTGTGTAATTTATCACAGAGCAGATCATGCATGCATGCATCTTGGTTCACTCAGGAAAAGGTGCTGGCTGTTCGATTGGATATTTAGTAGATATTGCTTGTGCTTTGGATAGAGATGCAGTTGACTCATGTAATTGTAAGGCGAGGTCCTGATTTATTTTGTATAAGGGTTCTTCAATGCCATTCTTCTTTAACTACTGCAGTGTTTACGTTGTTTACCTTCTTGCACACAATAAGCATTAGACATACCTTCCCTTTTTAATCCCAAATACTGGCATGGACTTGACTTGACAGATATCTGATGCTCCATGTTATTGGATATGAAAATGTTCCAAATGTTTATGTGCTTTAAATGAATGAAGGAATTCAAATTTTGCGGTTTAATATTAGACTTTGAATGTGGTCTGAAAAATACAGAATCCACTGTATAGCCTAAGCCTACCAAATCTTTAGCTTTTAGCATTAGCCATTGAACAACCTATATCAGTTTTATAATTCTCAGTGTCATTCATTGGCTGTCACTTTATTTAAGTGTTTGAATTCGCACATCTAAAAAAAAAAAAAAGACCAAAGGGCATTGCCTGCTTACATGTGACATGCTAAGTGATATCAGGTGTAAGAAATGCCTGTCTGGGTTTAAACTGTGAATGCAATTAGAGAGCAAATGCTAAATTCAATTACTGACTCAACTTTCACAGTATGTTGTGGTGAGTCAAAAAGTTTACTAAAAGCCAGAATCTTTAAAGTGCAAGGAAGAACATATAACAGATTAAATTTAGTCAATAATTACCACCTAAAGGTCAATATCCTTATGATTAAATACTCCTACAGTCTAGTGCTTGGTCTCATGTTTCCTAGGAAATTAGATTTTATCAAGTATTTCTCCTGTGGCGTATTCAGGGAAATGCTACTGGAGTTTTTTTTGTCCTTGTACTCTAGTCTAGTGTTCTCCTTGTGACACACATTGATCTAATGACGCGGAACAAAAACTTAATGACTTAGAATTTAATCATAAACAGTTAAAATTGTAAACAATACTTTGTTTCTTCTTTGTGAGGTTCGAGTCTGTACTTCCTCTGAATTAAGAAACGTAATATATCCTGAGATTAAAGGGTTAGTTCACCCAAAAATGAAAATTCTGTCAGTATATTTACTCACCCTCTGTTGTTCCAAACCTCTATGTGTTTATTTGTTCTGCTAAACACAAAGGAAGATATTTGGAAGAATGTTTTAATCAAACAGATCTCATTCCCCATTGACTACCATAGTAGGAAAAAATACATACATGGTAGTCAATTGGGGAATGAGATCTGTTTGATGAAAACATTCTTCCAAATATCTTCCTTTGTGTTCAGCAGAACAAATAAACACATAGAGGTTTGGAACAACATGAGGGTGCGTAAATACTGATAGAATTTTTATTTTTGGGTGAACTAACCCTTTAAGGCAAATTTTTTTTATGTCTTGACATTTGAAATTCCTTACTTTAATCTTTTTCCTGAAACACCCGGTACTTCCCATGTGCAACCTCATCTAGATCAGTTTCAAATCTAAAGCTGGTTCTTAGAGGCCTTAGTAAGGAGAGTATCTTCACTCAACTTCATCCAAACTACTTTACCAAACTATTATCTACAAACAAATAATGTTTCTTTTAAAGGTGCAAAAAGTGATTTCTGAGAAATGCGGTTGATATTTGAAATCACCAAAACAAGCACACCCCCATCTTTATAGCTCTTCCCCAAATTCAAACATGCTATGCAACACAGTCATCTCCCCCTAATGAGTGGACATGCCCCTTACTGCTGATTGGCTGCAAGTTTGTTTTGGTGCTGGTCTGATTCACTTTCAACAGGGCTTCTCAGAAAACGCTTACTGCACCTTTAAGTACTATAAAGCCACTGGACGTTCATGGTTATTCCCTGGAGCTAAAGCTAAAAAAAATAAAATTGTTAAAGGGATAATTAACCCAAAAATAAAAATTTTCATTTACGTAAGACTTTCGTTCATCTACAGAACACAAATGATATTTTAAATGAAATCCGTGAGATTTCTGTACCTCCATAGACAGATATGCATGCAACTACCACTTTGATGCTTTAAAAATTTCATAACAAGATCGTAAAACTAATCCATATAAATTCAAGCGGTTGGGTCCAAATTGTCTAAAGAGACATTATCGCTTTATGCTGAACAGACTGCATTTAGGCTTTTATTCACATATAAACATTGATCAGTGAACATAAACCGAACTGGCTTGACGTGCGAGAACAAACCTCTTGCCGAAGCTCAAAAGTGATGCGTAACACGAGAATGAACCTCATTGGTTCTTGCACGTCTAGCAATTATGCTTGAGCTTCTGTTTACCACACTTGATATGTGCATTGATGAATATGTGCGTGATATGTAAACCTAAATTCAATCTGTTCATTATGTAAAGTGATCGAGTCTATTCAGAAAATTTGGAAGAATTATCATTGGGGTGAACTATCCCTTTAACTAAACTTGAACCTCAAATTGAACTGAAATAAAAATGAGTAAACACAACGAACTTACTGGTATTTGAAAACTTAAAAAAATGACAAAAACATAACAAAATGACTAAAACTTATATAAATTATAATAACTAATTGAAAATATGAATACAAACTACAATAACTTTTCAATGGTACGAAAATAACGGTTTCTGTTTTGAATAGTCAAAGAATTCCCATTGGTAACACTTGATATTCTTTGTATTTTTAAACTTAAGTTTTTGTGTGTGTTTCTTAAAGGAGTAGTTCACTTTTAAAAAACCTTTTGCTGATAATTTAATCACCCCTCCTGTGTCATCCAAGATGTCCATGTCTTTCTTTCTTCAGTCGAAAAGAAATTAAGGTTTTTGAGGAAAACATCCCAGGGTTTTCTCCATATAATGGACTTCAATGGGAACCAAACGGTTCAAGGTCCAAATGAGAGTTTCAGTGAAGGGCTTTAAACGACACCAGACGATGAATAAGGGTCTTATCTAGTGAAACCATCAGTCATTTAAAAAATAAATAAAAAAGTTTTATAAGCTCAAATGCTCGCCTTGCTTTGTTCTGTGATGAGCGTTTGAGACTGTCCAGTTCTAAATCGTTCATCAAAATGAACAAATCTTTTTTCAAAATGAACAAGTCATGACTCAAAGGGTCCTAGATTCATCGTCTGGTGTTGTTTAAAGCCCTTTGAAGCTGCACTGAAACTCTCATTTAGACCTTGAACCGTTTGGTTCCCATTGAAGTCCATTATATGGAGAAAATCCTGGAATGTTTTCATCAAAAACCTTAATTTCTTTTCGACTGAAGAAAGAAAGACGTGGACATCTTGGATGACACGGGGGTGAGTAAATTATCAGTAAAAGTTTCTTAAAAGTGAACTACTTTTTTATGTAGGCACACCCAAGTTGTGTTGAGTGAATCAATCAACCAACCCACAATCTGACCGCAAGCAACTTACTGTACTGTGAAGAGATGTGATGCTTTGGAGGTTTTAGCACTTTAATGAAATAATTTTCATGTATTTTATACAGGAGCTCCTGTAGCAAAGCTTTCAGTCTTTTTACATTCAGGCTTCAGACTGAAATCAGATCTATATACTTTCATTTAATCATTTTAATTTAGCGTGCTTTGTTACATTCGTGGTAATTTCACTCATAAAGCCTCATGTTTTTTGCGAGGGGCAGTGAGCGTGCAGTGTCTTTATTCTGTTGAACCGCAATTACGGTTTATCCGGCTCGTTTGGATGGAGGATTTCGAATGGATTCTGTGTGTTAGCGATAAGGTTCTGTTTATAAGCGACAATAGCGTTTGTGTGTTGTGGACTTGCCCTGTTCCTTCCTGGCAGTCAGGGCTCAAAGAGTTATGAGTCAGACATATGAGCTATTCTGGCTTTGTCGTTTTGACGTTGCTTCTGATTAAACTGTATAAACGAGAACACTTATGATTTCCCGTTCCTCCTCAGTACTTGTCAGTACAGTACTTGAACTGAATCTGTTCTCTTTTTACCAGGTGAATGCCAGGCAAACACCAACTGTTTGTGATAGGCATGTTAGAAGATTGATTATACGGTTTATTATTACTATTATTATTATTTTCCCCTTGTCAGAGTGTTTTTTTTTAAAATGCATTTAGGTTCTCAAACTGTGTTTACTTCAAGCATATGCATTTTATTAATGACTTAAAATAAATTATTTCCTTACAAAGACTATAGAGTTTAACAGCAGAAATGATTCATCAGAACGAACGATAGCCAGGGTTATTTTGAGGGACTTCTCATAATTATTTGAGTCACCTTGTTAAGTTTACAGTGTCGTTTTTCAGTTTTCATAATGGGAAGTGGGGTGAAAAGTGTCCTGGAATTGAAGTAACTGCGAATAGTTCATCTTTGGACTGGAAGATCATTAATAGTTTTCCATGTGACTAAAACAGAATGAGTTCAGCATGATAATATCACAAGTCTTTCATGCATGTGATAGTAGTGAAAAGGAAACACAATTAAATAAAGTTTGCTTGGGTGTGTGTGTGTGTTTTCCCAGAGTGAAGAGTGTCCCTGGAAATGGGAATCCCCTGTAATTACATCACACCTAGTGTTTCTTTCAGTTTCAAATTGTGTTCTGGATGCATGTGCCCTATAATAAAGCAGCTTCCTTCAGATTAAATGCAATATTTTTGTCACTGAGGAAAATCCAAACAAATCTTTCATATTGTCTTCTTGTATTGAAGCATAGAGCCAATCCTGAAAGCTGGTGGTTAATAAATGCAATTGGATTTGATTTGTGTGTCCCCTCAGCTGCTTTCGTTCGTGGCGTTTGTGATGGAGGAGGTCGTGTCCAACTGTTCACAATGTGGACCGCTCTACTTCTTTGAATTTGTCAGTTGCACAGCCTTCCTCTTCACTCTGTTGCTCCTCATCCTCCTGGCTACAACGTTGCACCAGAGAGTCGGAATTAACAGCTGGCCTACTCTGGTAAATTCAGAACACAAAAACATGCTTTTAAATCTACCACTGTTTTTATTATTATTACTTGCAATTTGTTGATATTAATAATAATAATATAATATTATTAATAATTATGTATTAATAACGTTATTTAAATATCAACATATTGTTAATAATAATACAATAATTAAAATTTTAATAGAAATATTCATCTCAACATTATTATTAACAATAATAATATTAAAATATTGTTAATGATATCAATTTATTTATTAATTTGTTGATAGTATTATTATTATTAATGAAGATAATAATAACAATAATAATAAAACATTGTGTTAATACTAATATTAAATTATAATTATTATTAATGATAATAATAATATCAACATTATTAATGATGATATCGGCATATTGTTAATAATAATAATAATATTATTTTATTTTTATTAGGGCTGTGCAAAGATTAATTGTGATTAAGCGCATCCAAAACAAAAGTTTGTGTTTACATAAAATATGTGTGTGTGCTGTATATAAATACATATGCATGCATTATATATTTAAGAATTATTTGCACGTAAATACTGTATATATATATATATAAATACATAATATATATATATATATTATATATAAATAGTTTATAAATGAATAAAACATTTTCTTAAATGTATAGATGCATGTGTGTGTATTTATATATACAAAATAATTATACACAGCACACACAAATATATTATGTAAACACAAACTTTTATTTTGGATGCGATTAATCGCAATCTTTGCACAGCCCTAATTTTTATTAATATGTTGATATTATTATTATTAACTATAACAGTAATATCAACTTATTATAACATATTGTTATTATAATCTTGATGATTATATTATTATTATTTTATATATAAAAAAATACAAAAATCATAAATAAAATTACATTTTAGTTTATAGTTTATTATTGTTTTACACAAATATTTGACCGCATCTTCCACAGAATCAAGTATTCTAATTCACCGTTTTTATTCAATTTAAACTTCTTTTAATTTTCCCATAGGATTTTGGATACACAACAGCTATGGCATTTCTGTTCCTCCTTGCCAGCATTGTGTTTGCGGCAGACAATGGTCAGACGAGCCTGGAGCAGGGCACTGTGGTATGAGGCTGCTTCATCTGTGCTTTATTTGATATGACAACACACTGACTGGCTAACATTTACCTGTCTTTCCTGTATTACAGGCATTTGGTTTCATGGCCACGATAGCCTTCTTTGTTGACTTTGGCTACTTTTTGAAAACTCGCGGTATTCCTTGCCGAAAGGGAAGCAACCAACCAACAGACACAGCAAGACCAGAGATTGAGAAACTTAATTCTAATGGAACTGAATGAGCCTTGCTAGTGTTTTCACCAGCAAACTGCTGTTGTATTCAAAAGCTTTTTTCCCCTTTTGACAAACAATTTTTTATACATGAGAAATGTTTTTTTTTTTTACCCAAAGCAAAAAATGTCTTAATAATTCCATTTCAGTCAGTTACTAACTGGCATGTTGGACCAGTTTTATATTGTGCCTTAGCTGTTTTTATATTTTTACACAAGTCTTAATTTCACGGTTGAAGTAGGAGATCATTCATATCTAGAGGTTTCTCGGTTTGGGAATCTTCTATTATTTTGTAATGACAATTTTTACACTGAAAAACAAAAAAGTACAGCCTACAAATGAAGTTTTTGGCCCTAACAGAAGTATGTTTTCTGCGTCATTGTACTCTTATCTTATGAGTTAACAAGTACAAAAAGATGCACTGTATTTTTAAAAGAAGTACTCATTCCTGATGCTTTTGTAGCTATATGTCCTTAAAAATATATATTTTGGTAAAAAAACAGGATTCAATCATGTTGAAACGAATGATTTAAAATTACCTGTTTTATGACCGGAATATGGATATAGTATTGGATACGAGGCTAAAACAAATCATGAAATAATCTTGTGGGACAGGTAAATATTGCACTGTATACACAAATGTCCTTAAGTCAGTTTTACTGTTGAATGTGGTGACAACAAGACATTGTTTTTATGGCCCTGTGACTATCATATTTCGCTGTGCAAGGGATGTTAGGGGTGTACAGTAATAGATTGTTTTTTTTATTGAAATAATCTGTCATTTTTGTATTGTGTGGAACTAGAAATGTTGTATATTTTTCTCTTGTGCTTTATCTCGTTCCATGTAAGCCCAGCTTGTGTTTTTGTTAGGGAGGAAGTGCTTTAAATATGATTCCAAACAGATGTCTTTATTCGGAGGTATGCGCGTGAAAGGCCCAAATGTGTTTGTTTAAATGCCCGCGGAGATGAACGGACTGCAAGTTTTCCAAGACACTAATCTGCCTTCCGCTTCCTGTGTTGTGACTGACTGCTGCTTTCTGTGTTAAAGGTGGAATACCTAAGATTTTTGCATTAAAATATCCCAAAATCACAAGGCCAGTGTTATATATTTAGTTAAGATGATAACTTAAAATATTCCAAATGTTTCAAAAAATGTTTAAATCGCGAGAAAATTTATATTTTAACCAAGGGAACGGGGCGTGTGAGCAGGGGTGAGCTGGGAGTCGCCAGTCAATTGCGTCATATCCACGTTACCTCGGTTTCCGCTCGTAATACGTGTAGTCCTGGACAAATGCGGAAGTTGTAGTTGTGCGTTAGCGTCTATCAAGCAACAAACGTCAGCTTGTTTCGCGCATTTTTATGGAATGGAGCACAATTATTCTTTTCATTTATTCTCGGAATGTGAACTGTTGGCTGTAAAGGGGGTCGTACACCGGACGAGAAGCGCCGCGCCACGTTTAGGACAACTCCACAGTAACGTTATCGAACACCGGACGCGCACTTTCTCATCAGTGTATGGCCAGAAATATTGTTATGTTTAATGACATGAAATGAAGATAATGTCTGTTCTATGTTATGATTGTACTGTACAATTAAATACAATCGTTGCTGAGTCTGCATTCTAAAAACTTTACCTCAGAGCATCCATTCACTGAATGAATTGAATCTCACCTGAAAAATCTAATAACATCAGCTATTGTCATTCAAGCAGCTGATTTCTGTAAATGAATGCAAAACTAAATGCATATTGCAGCATAGGGCGAAGTCAGGATCTATTAGCAACGATTTGAGACAAAAATAAGTCACTTCGTCCAGTGACTCGTACAGTAACATCTGTGATAACTAATTTACTTTTAAACCTGACTTTTCTTGCGGTTATTTCAGTTTAATGAAAAACAAGCAGGTCATTAAACGCAACATTTATAGAAATCGAACTTTAACTCATCCATGACAACTAATTTTCGATTCCCGTCTGACTGATTTATCCACGGTGGAGTTGAAAACAACAGTTCCCATCATTCCGCGTTTCTCCACGTCGTCATCAAGCAAAGCCGGTGTTGTTGTTTTGAATGTAGCGCCCTCTAGCGGCATCTAAATCTTAGGTATTCCACCTTTAATTAAGCATACGTGTATATTTTTAAACCACATATTTTGTTGATGTATTGAAAATAGCCAGGTTTCTTACTGAAACGTCTTAAGATATGGATAGATCATCTGGATAGTTTTGATTAGCTAAGGGCTTTATGATTTTAAAAATCCATTTGAATACCAGCATTTCTACAAATGGTCACACATTTTACAGAAGTTTTTTGTAAACATCCTTCCTCTCCAGTTAAGCATTAAATAGCTTCTGGGTCCAAATATCAGACTCCTGTTTTTATATGTTGCCTGTTTGAAAACATCTCAGTTTAGACTTCACAAACCACGAATTTATACTTGAACAACACTGTGGATGTGGTTCTTTGGTTCAGTCACGACTCACGTGAGCGATTTCACATTGCACTGCACTCTTCATCGATAGAGATTTATGCTATCTTGCTTGTTTGGAGCTGTTTCTGACCTTAGTATCTAAATGTAGCCCAAATATATAATTGTTTTTGTGAATTTAGTTACTTAATTCTTCGCACGAGAGAGATGACGGGCTTTATTTTGTCAAACTTTAGTTCCCTAAAGCGAACGCTAGATGTCGCTGCCTGCAAAGTTACCATCTACAGATCGAATATTTGAGGGTGAAGATCATTTCGACTCCAGGTAGGCCTGCCTACTACTGGCATGAAGTATGGTTTTGGTTGGATAATAATTGTGATTTTTTGAAGAGACATGAATTACTTTATTGCTCATAAAGTAGGTCCTAAATGTTTTATAATATGATTTGCATGATCCTAAAGCAGTGTAGGATGGCTTGCTGGTATTTTAGTTAGTCTCACAGTTTGAAAATTCCCCAGAGCCCTATAAAACTAGTCGGATGACAGCAGGAACCAGTTAAAATCAGCTCACAATCTTTGGCAGAATGATTTTATGGGACATTTTTATCATAAAAAGCTTGCTGAAAAAAGTCTGGTTTTAGAGCACTTTTTTAACAGATCAGACTGGGACAGCAGCACGTGTTTAGACTAGTTTAATCCGTTTTTAGCAGGCACTTTACTGGTAACCAAACGGTTGAAGGTCCAAAAGACAGTTTCAGTGCAAACTGTTGAAAGGGCTTTAAACGATTCCACGAATCTTTTTCCGAGTCAATTTGTTCATTTCGTTCATTGAATGAACCAAATGACTCGAAAAAAGATTCGTTCATTTTGATGAACGAGTTCGAACAGGAGAGTCACGAACGTGCATCACAGTTCAGAGCAAGGGGAGCATTTGAGCTCATAAAACTTAATTCGTTTCACTTGATAAGACCCCTATTCATCGTCTGGAATCGTTTAAAGCCCTTTGAAGCTGCACTGAAACTCTCATTTGGACCTTGAACCATTTGTTGCCCAGTGAAGTCCATTAAATGGAGAAAAATCCTGGAATGTTTTCATCAAAAACATTAATTTCTTTTCGACTGAAGAAAGAAAGACGTGGATTGAAGTTTTTTTTTTTTTTTTTAAAGTGAAATAATCCTTTAAGAGGCAAAGTAACAGTCAGGTGCTGCTCATCAGATGGCTTTGACCTGATCATCACCAAGTGTGTTCACTTCTATAAAACCAGAAGTTACGGCAGTTTGCTGGTCTTGAGCATTCACGTGTGTATGTTAACAGAATGGCTTGGAGGAAAGACATCAGCAAGGATCTTAGAGAAGCAATTATTGTTGCCATCTGGTAAGGATGATTAATCATAAGTGAAACACATTCAAGACAGTTGCCAATCTTCTCAGGAATGGACGTCTCAGCAAATTCATTCAAAGTTGCATCTGAACAAACCTCAAGATTTCTGGAACAATGTCATTTGGACAGACAAGACCAAAGAGGAGATGTTTGACTATAATAATACATAGCCTACAAAAACTACACACAACACATCAGCACAAACACCTCATTCCAGCTGTCCATCACTCTGGTGAAAGGGTTGGTTATTTTTGGCATGTTTTTCAGCCACAGAACCTGGGCACCTTGCAATCTTTGATTCGACCATTAACTTCTCTGGATACCAAAGTATTCTAGCGTCAAATGTGAGGAGGCCATCTTCTCCGACAGCTAAAGCTTGCCTGAAATTGGGTCATGCAATAGGTCGATGATCCCAGGACACCAGAAAATAATGTCTGACAGAAAATAATCAAGATGTTGCACTTGCAGTCAAAATCCAGAACTCAGAACGATGCGAGAGACTGACACTGTACAGAAAACGATTCCTTCAACTTATTGCTGCTGAAAGTGGCTCTAAGCAACTCCATCATAGTGTGGAGGCCTCCTTAGTTTGTCACCCATGGCTTTTTCCGTTATGGCTTTATTTTTGTTAAATAAATAATGACACGGAGTAATTTGTTGTTGTTCATCTGAGGTTGTATTTACCTAATTTTAAGACCTTATAACGACCAGATGATTTGTGTTCTGTCACGTAAAATAATCACATTTTAAAGGGTGTCCTATATGTTTCACATGCCTGTAAACATCTTGCACATTTTATTAAGGAGAAGGGTCACAATCGAGAGTGTTTACCTGTAGAACCTCCCCTTAAAGTCCGCGTAACCGCTGAAAGATTCTTAGCGCGTGAAGGGGAGGGACCGGCGCGCGACATGAACGCGCTGTACTTTACTTTCACTCATTTGCACACAGCGGCGTGAGGATGGAGCTCGAATCCTTATGTGGAGCATATGTCTTTTCAGTGCTCTGTGTTTGATGACAAGCAGACCTTATTTGCCTGGAATTATTGTACATGTTCGTTAAAGGTGAGTGAAACGTTCTCTCATCTGTCACTGTTTGCAGGACCGCTCACGAGCGCAGGTGCTTCATATAAAGGCGCGCGCTTTTATTTGCACCTTAATCACTTTAAAGTAAAAGAGGATGGAGGATTTTTTGGGTACAGTACTGCTTACAGTAGTAGATAACTTGATGATACGTTCTTGCAAGCTTAAGTTGTGGCACCATATGTCTTATACTCTGTGTATGAAGTTGTTAAGGCTATTTTCTTTTTACTGATGCAGTTATAATTTGCATTCATGCACATTGATTCATTGACGCAATTTGAAGCCTGCATAATGTTGTTCTGTAATAGTAACTAGAGAAAAACCTACATTAATGTACTTTATTAGTCTATTTGTTTATTGTGTTAAATTGTCTTTCGGTGGATGGCATATAGGCCTAGGCTATGTATACTGCATATAACTGTTTTAATTTGGACGAAAACAGTTATAAAACACTAAATGAATACTTATTTATCACTTAAGTCTGTTTTGATGTGCAAATATGCATAGGAGGCTTTAATTTTTAAAATCACTACAGGCTGTCACTTACTTTTCTTTAACTTTCCTTTTAAAATGGTACCTTTCTTGATGTGTTTTGGCCCGGCTGCTTACATTAGACTTCATTTATGACGCGATTCCTTCATTGTCCAGATGGGAGTGAACAATTAAAGCAAGTGATGTGCATGAGAGAGACCATCCTAAGTTTATTGTACTTGGACGACAGACTTTAGTTTTACCAACTGGATGTTCATCATAACTTAGTACTTGGGTTATGGACAAACATTAACAGTATTATGTGTATTTATAAGGACATATTGACCGTGTTACAACCATTTTGTTGACTGTAATGTTACTTTACCAATTGTAGAATGTAATAACACGTGGTACAGTTAAAAGTTAAAACATTTTAAACATTATTTTATTGTAAAATTAATGATCTTTTTAAAAAGTTTGCGCTAAACGTTGCATGGTTTACACAATAATAAGCAGCACATCTGTTTTCAACTGATAATGTTTAGTGATAAATTGTCTCCTGATCACCAAATCAGAATTTTAGAATGATTTCTGAAGGATTATGTGACACTGAAGACTGTGATTTTTAGAATATTTAGTCATACACACAGTCTGATTGAGTCTTGAATATAAAGAACATTCACTCTAAAAAAGGCAGGGTTATTTGGGGTTATTTCAACCCAA